ATATATATATATATATATATATATATATATATATATATATATATATATATATATACATATAACTCCCAGGCCTCTGGTAGAGGACCCGAGCTTGAGGATGACACATACCACCCCACGAGGGGTGAGAAAATATATATTTTTTTATACATATGTATATACATATATATACGTATATATGTATATACATATGTATATACATACATACGTATATACATATGTATATACATATACACGTATATATGTATATATACATATATATACATATACACGTGTATATATATATGTATATACATATATATATATACATTTTCTAAATATGTATTTATAAATAAAGAAAAACATTTTTGATTGACAACAATAACTGCATTAGTTACCAATCCTGGGTAAATGAAGGACAAACCTATATTTACCCAAAGAACATACAAATGATGTTGTGAAGAAGAAAGGGGAGGATTTATGTATTTCTTAACACCGGTGTTACACTAAATCGTGTGACCATCGTGTCCTGTGACGAAAAGGGGCGGGGTCAGCTGTAACGTTAGCAACCACGCTGAGAGACTGACAGAGGGGGGAAGCGTTATCGTTTCAGTGAAGGATTGCCCTCTGAGAAAATGTCTGTTAATACACAACCGATGTTTATCTGAGAGACCAAGAGGAGTTGGAATCACCCGAGAAGAAACGCGTCTTAATATAGAGCTGGTAAGCACTGAGAATCCTCTTGTTTTTGTTTCTAGCAAAAGACTCACCAGTTGGTTCGTCCCTGATCGTCAGTAACCTTAGCTGGCTAATCGGTTAGCATGTCCGTAGCGAGATGGTTATCAGTAAGGAAGCGCTTAAAACTAAAGCTTTCTGTTTTTGTTTCAGCAAGAATATATTTACCTACTGTTTTAAAGCTAATGACAATGGGATGACTCAGTTGAAATGATAACTGCTGTAAAGTGAATCGGTCGCTGCTAGTGGGCTAATAATGCTAACAGCGAAGCCTCGCCTGATTTTGACAGCTCACTGTGAGGAATAGCGGACCAGGCCATAACCGCACACTTCTGCTATCTTATTGTATTAAAAAACAAGCAAACAATCTCCCTTATTGATACCAAGCGCGGAAAAAATAAAGATAATGTTCTGAATTGCATAAAATTCTTTGAATATTTTCTTATTGGCTTTCAGGTAAGCGACGCCGACGTCACGTTTTCAGCACAATGGTTTTTTTGTTAACCTGTTGTGTGTCTGCTCTTTGCTACAGTAAACCATCTCTGGAGATTAGCATTTTTAACATCTTTATACAGTTTGCGAATAGCAACTCACCTGCAATTAATAGGATATTGCAGCTTTATACATTGTCACCGAGCACTGGTTTTGCTTTGCAATGGTTTAATTGTCTGTGGAGCCCCACCCTACATATTCAAGGATTAACACCCTACGGGCATCCAAGCTCATTTTAATATGAAGCACTTTAAGATCCTAATTTTGGGAATTTTAAGATGCCTGAATGTATCAAAACAGGGATAAATGATTACTACGGAAAGAGATCAAAATGAACTATCTATCTATCTATCTATCTATCTATCTATCTATCTATCTATCTATCTATCTATCTATCTATCTATCTATCTATCTATCTATCTATGACTCTTTTGGATGCTTTTCTTTTTGAATCATCCTCAGACAGTCTTGAAATGTTATATCCTTCCATTAGGTTCTATCACTGATCAAAAGATTGAATCTTAGAGTTTCCTCCTGGTCAACTGATGGTCATGATTGACCATGTAAACAATTCTGGCACTGTTGTGTGACGCGATCTCATAGTGCTGCTTTAAGCACAATCAAAGTTCTCGCTGACATCTTTTTTTTCATAGGCAGCCACTTTTGTTTTTAACTGCATTATTTTGACATGATATATATTTTTTTTTATTCATGCACCGTAAAATGTTTAAAGCAGTTATTTGTTTCAAGGTTGTATTTTCATGAAGAGAAGTGTCCATGATCCATGGTAAATATTGCTGCATAAAACAAAATCAAGTCTTTAGATGTGAAGAAGATGAATCATCATGTAGACCAAATTGCCATTTTTTTTTTTGGGATAGAAATATATCAAGTTTGGTGATGTATTTGTATTCACCGTGCAGTAAGTATGCTATAAAACAAGTTTTTTAGAGGCAAAGCGAACCTATCTAAAGAAATTGCTGCACTTCACATTGATTCACTTACTAATAAAAGAGGAACACCTGATATTTCAGTTCAAACACATTTTTGCAGAGGTGGATTAATTTTGCATTTAAGGTTAATCTGGATTTACTGGTTTCCTGTTGGGCCTCTCGCTCAACTCTCCTTAAATGATGACAGACTGGGGGATGCATGCACTACTAGTACGATGTTCTGTCATTGAAAATACTTTTTAAAATTTTAGGAACAAGTTGTTGATTTTAGTTCTAGGAATTTGTAATTTTAATCACTGATTTGGCTTTAGATGGTGTTGAGTGATGCTGAAGATTTTTCACCAACCCCTTAACTTCATATTGTAAGATATTTTAGTCAGTGCAAGTGATTCAAATAGGTCGTTGTATCTACCCATTTAAAAAAAAAGGTAAATCTAGCCAGATTTATTCGATTCATCACCAATCATTACTGCAGTTGGCAAAAAAAAAAACTATGCCAGAATTAGGGATATTTAAAAAATCAGTGTGGAAAAAAATCTTTTGTTTTAGATTTTGTTTTGTACATTTTCTGAAAAAGGACTCAGATAGTTTAAAATACTTCCAGCTTTTACCCAAGACATGGTGCCTGTTTTATTGTTGTGAAATCCAAGTGATGTGAAGGTTTTTACATAGCTTTTCTGCGCATGGATATAGATATTAGTCCTTAAAATCCCACCCATGAGGATTTACAGTTATTCTAATAATAAATCTACCCACAACTATCAGAAATATCTGAAGCTACTGTCATATGAAAAATGCCATACATGTTTCCTCAATTATTTTACCTCATTGGATGTGGATAAATGGAAGATGAGAAATTTGATTACATATATTTAGGCAAGACAATTTGATTTCTATTGCACATTTCGAAGCACAGTACAGGAGAAGAAAATGGAAATTTCAAGGCAGTTGCATAAATGGAACAACAATCATTAAAAAGAATATGAATTATTAATAAGAATAAGATGATTATATTAAAATAAAATGGTTGATTTAAAAAAAAGAAAAGAAATTGGATTGAAAATTAAACTTATTATGTTTAGACAGCTCAGGCAAAGACCACTAGATATGTTTTTAATCCTGATTCAAAG